GATGTATGTTTATGGCAGTATGAGTTCATGTGGCTTGTGCCTGTGTTTAGTTTCTTATTCTTATGAATTGGTGTAACTTAGTTTCACTTTTGTAAAATAGTTCTAGTCCGCATTAAATGATTAAATATGCAGGTAACTTATATTAGAACTTTATGAGTTTAGCACACGAACTAATAACATAAACACATGCTGGAGGTTATTAAGTGTCATATATGTCTGTTAATTACTTCATACGAGTCTCAGCTTGACAGTATAATGGAGCCAAATATAGTTTCCCATCAGATTCTCTACACATTATTTGTTCATATTTGTCTCCGTTTTGGGGTGTTTGGGATTTTAAACAAGTCAGATCAGCACAGACTTCTTTTAGATTTAATGTCACTCTTGCTGTGAAATGAATGTGAAAGCGTTTTTTTTTTTTTTTTTTGGACGAACCTGAATCAATTGTTTGTGTATTTTCAGTACCATAAACCAAAGATTTTATTTGTATTACATGTTGTGCTTATGACTTCACTGTCATCCGTACAATTGTATTTGTGTTATTGACGTCTTCTTAAGGTCCACAAAAAAACTAAAAAGTTCTTAAATCAGAGCAGAAAGTCTGGCATTAAATGTTACATACACTCCAAAAATTAATATCTTCCTCAGTATTTTTGACTTGTCTTCTAATTCAAATATCTTTCAATGGGGAATAAAAACCTGTTTTCCCTTTGAATTAAAGTGACAGTTCACCCAAAAATTTAAATTTGTTAATATACTAAATGTTAATATACTCACCCTCAGGCCATCCAAGAAGTAGGAAAGTTTTTTTTTTTTTTTCAGTAGAACATTAAAGAAGATTTTTAGCTGAAATCGTGGTCCTTGGTGATTCATATAATGCAAATCAATGGCTACTGCCACTTTGAGAGTCAAAGCAGCATGTCAGGCAACACAAAATGAATACCCACGGCTCCTGACGATATATTGAGGTCTTGAAGTGAAACTATCGCTCTGTGCAAGAAACATTATTTACGGCAGTATTACCTGTAATCCAGAGCCTCTTGCAAATGGTCTTTCTTTTAAACCAGACATTCACACCATATTTACATATTGTGTTCCATTCAATTTGCTGCTTTAATTTTCTTTACTTTATTTAAAAAGGCCTTAAATGTACCTTCATAAACCTGCAGAAAGCCTGTTATTGCACAGCAGTAATAGGCACTGACATATATAGATGTGCACTTCTGTGCTCCTCAGGACTTTCAGTTCCGTCAGATGAAGAAGATCCGTGTGTTCGAGTCGTCTGCGGATCTTCCTAAGGAGCGCTCCAGTCTCCTCGCCATCTCCAACAAATATGGCCTGACTTTCGTTGGCAAAGACAAGACGTTGAAAGTGTTCTGGACGAGAGATGTGATTGCAGCTGGCCGTCTGGAGGGAAACCCCAATGACACAGGTATGAACGCTCACGTGAACGCTACTCCGTTCTGCTGTGACTGAGCTCAGACTCACGTGTGCCTCATGTGTGTCTCATCAGTGGAGTGCTCCTGCGCTGTCATGGTGACCGTCGGTGTGGCGATGCATCACATGGCTCTGAGCAGCGATGAGCTCACGCTGTCTGTGTGCGGGACGGGGGACACCGCTGAGCTCACGCTGGACTTCTACGACGTCCGCACTTTCCTCAACAAGGTCATTCAACTCTCCTAAAACTACTTCAAATCTTATTTCATTTGTTTCCTCTTCAAGCAGCTCCTCATGTTTAGTTTGTTTTAGATCTTGAAGTCTACATGCATATCTGCAGCAGAAGCAGTGGAATGATGTGGCGTACTTTAGTTCATAATAAAGTCAAGTCACATTTATTTCTAAAGCAGCTTCAAAGAAATAAACACAAAAATAACAGAAGCAATGATGCAGACTTAAAGCTATTATACTTCATTTTGGACCAAAAGATTTTTATTTCTTTTTTTTCAACAGGGTAGTATGTAGGGCTGGGTATCGAGTTCGATACTTTTTAGGCACCAACTGAAATGCCTCGATACCATCGAATATCAATGGTAAATATCGTCTCATCGTTCGGTACCAAATTTCGTGAGCTTTATTAAAACTATTTGCACTGATTTTTTGTGTTGGTTACATTTTGTTCCTTTGTGCAGTGGCTCAGGAGATGAGTCTTTGAGTTTGTATAAACATCAACAAGCTGAAAAATAAAACCAAAGTTTTTTTGTTTTTTTTTGATAATGTAATCTTGTTCAAATTGATTTCATAAAATTGGTATCGAAAAAAGTGTCGTTCAGGAACCGGTGTCGAAGTCAAGGTATCGGTATCGATATCGACAATTTTTGAACGATACCCAGCCCTAGTAGTATGAGAATTTGGTTGAAAAAAAATTGTAGACATGATTTAAAAACGTTAAATTATTTTAAAACAAATAGTGTAGTATGATCTTCACAATCAAAAGTGACCACCATAGGAAATGAATGGGAAATATGAAAATTCAGAGCAATTTTCTGGGATACAGTCTACAAATCAGTTATGATGAAGTCGTTGGTAATATCTAGGGCTGCACGATAAATCGCATGCGATATTTAATGTGCATCTAATCAGTAAAGCCGGTTCTGTAATCAGTGGTAAATCTCCATCACGTGCGGGCTTTCACATTGAGCAGCATTAACTACACAGAGCCGTTGTTCACTGACGAGCTGCGCAAAACCACGATCATATTTTGCGCATGTTTTGCGCAGCTCGTCAGTGAACAACAGCTCTGTGTAGTTAATGCTGCTCCATGTGAAAGCCCGCACGTGGTGGAGATTTACCGCTATTAGAGAACGGCTTTACTGACAAGATGCGTGTTAAATATCGCATGTGATTTATCGTGCAGCCCTAGTAATGTCCCATTTTGGTGTCCACATCAAATAAAATTTACAAGAGTGATTTTATACATGCAGAAAGCATATTAAATGCAAGTAAAGTGTCTACTTTAATGATTCAAATAAGTTTTGTAAAAATAAAATGTCAAAATATGGGTGAATTAATATTCAGTCATCATTAAGCGTAACATATATTTATGTAAAAATGAAACAACATACTTATTCTGACTTGTACTTATTAAAATATATCAAAGAATTAGTGATCATACTAAATTTGATTATATTTTAAATGATTAAAAACTTCTTGCTGACAAATGGGTAAAACCTAGTTGTTTGATGGATAGTGGCAAAGATCGGTAAATATTTAAAATGACCATTAGTATTTTAGGGCTGCACTGTAATCCCTAGATGAGTCTTTCAGTGTCATGTAAAGATTCTTGTCCTAAATGTGCCTGACAGGATTTTTTAGTATATGAACTCTTTTTACACTGAATGACATTTTAATGGGTGTCTTCAGTATATAATGATATTTCAGTGGATTGTGCTGTAACTTAGCCAATTGTTCAGCTGGCGAAACGTCTTCCTGAAAAGACTTTCAGTAAACAAAAACTTCACAAAGCAGTTGTGAAAACTGAATGATTTTGGACCTTTATACAGCACATGCTGCCACTGTAAGAAATGTAAGTCTATCCCTCACAGGCTCACTTTCATCCATGTTCATTTCAAACTTGAAGGCATCTATTAGTTAAACCACATTACATGTGACTGCCTTTATTTCTCCCACCAGATGGCATTAGTTTGCTTTCCATCCACTGGAATTCAAATACTTTTTTTTTTCTTTTTTTTTTTTACTTAAACACTGCATTAATTTGAAATGACATTTGTGTTCTAATATTTGTATTAATTTATATAGAAATAAATTATGCTTAATTTAGAGGTGATTTTTGTTTAGTTCAGTCAAATACAGAATATTTAAAGAATTAATATTATTGAAACTACTAGTGCTGTCAAACGATTAATCGCATCCAAAATCTAAGTTTTTGTTTACATAATATATGTATGTGTACGGTGTTTATTTATTATGTTTATATAAATGCACACACATACAGTATATATATATATTGAAAATATTTACATTTATATAATTATATTTTGTATTATATATAAATATATGTAGTATATAAACAACATATTTTTCTTAAATGTATACATACATGTGTTTGTATTTATAAACTTTGGTTTTGGATGCGATTAATCGCGATTAATCATTTGACAGCACTAATTGAAACAATGTATAGTATGTTCATGGATGTTCAAGAATGTGAAGAATACCAAAGTGTTAATGTGTGTGTTTGCTCCAGCAGGACAGACAGGAGAAGCGTCCCTTCACCTCTTTCAAACCCGCGGCTGCTGTAGACATGCTGGTCCAGGATCTGAAGTGGAGTCCAGTGGACGCGTCCCGTCTGGCTGTGTGTCTGTCTGATGGCAGTATGATGGTGCTGGATGTTCAGGACTCTGTCAGTGTGTTCGCTCGGCTTCCTGCCTCTGAGGGAATCACCTGCGGTCAGTGTTTACTGTGTGCTGTCTTTATTCTCGCAGTGCTAATCTTGAATAAAGTCATCAGTTTCCAGATGTCTCCACCACTGGTTTTTCAGTGTCTTTGGCCTTATTTTTAAACATGTTGATTCGTTCCTCTCTCTCTCTCTCATTGTAGTTTGCTGGAGTCCCAAAGGGCAGCAGGTGTCTGCTGGGAAAGAGGATGCCACAGTGGTTCAGTTCACTCCTGTACGTCTGTACATGACAGTTTATGACGGACAGATCCTCAGATCTTCACTTTACCAAGCGTGATAACTATTTCCACACCATAACTGCTTCAATACTAACACACAATATTGTTCTGTTCATTATAAACATGCTGCAGTTTTGTTGTCTGCCACTTTAAATGCTCAAGCTCTTTAAAGCAGGATGGATTAATGTTTTTATCATTCATCGTTCTGAAAATGATTCCACTGGTATTGTTCCTCTGTGTTGTTATTGTTACAGTTGTGGTGTGGACTTGGTACTCTCATAGAGTTAGGGTGACTATTAAAACTTTATAGTTTAGTCCAGTGTGTAATGTCATGCTGTGTGTTTGTGTCTCAGATCTTACAGGCCAAGAAAGTGATCCCCTGTCCCAGCTTCTACAGTCAGGATCACCCCGTCAAAGGTACAACGGCTCAGATTTACTGTGTTCTTACTGTGACTGTGTTCATGTATAGATGTGATGTCAGTGCTAATCCACCTCACTGATGCTTTCATGTCATGCTGTATGATTTATATTTACAAGATGAGTGTCACCACAACTTTAAGCTCAGACTTTGGCTTCTGATTTGGTATTGATCATAATGAGACTGTACTTTCATTATGGCCAATCAACAATCTAATTGCAATCTAAAATGTTTTTTGCTGCAGGTTCGTGTTTGTAGTACTGCACATTTTGGCGAATATTGTTGCTGTTATTATAAAAAATATATTAAACAGTGAATATTATACTGTATATATGTTCTACTATATTATATTAAGTACAACAGTAAAATTATATTATGGCTAATTTCTTTATTTTCATAGCTTTTTTGACTTGCGGCACATATTTATTAATTCACATCTTTTATGATTTAATAATCGCACTGAGCTATATTGTGATTTTGGTTTTATTTCAACTAATCGTGCAGCCCTATCCCATCATTCTCTGTGATGGTGTGAGAATTGAAAAACACTTAGGTAAACATCCATTACTCAAAGCATTTGCTCGCTTTATAACATAATTTTGATAACATTATAAGTGGACCTCAGTACAAAATAAAAAAATGGCAGTTCATGACCCCTTTAATCATGCCTTCCACTCTCATAAGTAAGTATGTGAGCACTGGTGTCTGTGCTTATGTGTGTGTGTGTGTTCGTTCGTTCTCCGCAGTGCTGGATGTTTTGTGAACGGCTCAGATTTACTGTGTTCTTACTGTGACTGTGTTCATGTATAGATGTGATGTCAGTGCTAATCCACCTCACTGATGCTTTCATGTCATGCTGTATGATTTATATTTACAAGATGAGTGTCACCACAACTTTAAGCTCAGACTTTGGCTTCTGATTTGGTATTGATCATAATGAGACTGTACTTTCATTATGGCCAATCAACAATCTAATTGCAATCTAAAATGTTTTTTGCTGCAGGTTCGTGTTTGTAGTACTGCACATTTTGGCGAATATTGTTGCTGTTATTATTATAAAAAATATATTAAACAGTGAATATTATACTGTATATATGTTCTACTATATTATATTAAGTACAACAGTAAAATTATATTATGGCTAATTTCTTTATTTTCATAGCTTTTTTGACTTGCGGCACATATTTATTAATTCACATCTTTTATGATTTAATAATCGCACTGAGCTATATTGTGATTTTGGTTTTATTTCAACTAATCGTGCAGCCCTATCCCATCATTCTCTGTGATGGTGTGAGAATTGAAAAACACTTAGGTAAACATCCATTACTCAAAGCATTTGCTCGCTTTATAACATAATTTTGATAACATTATAAGTGGACCTCAGTACAAAATAAAAAAATGGCAGTTCATGACCCCTTTAATCATGCCTTCCACTCTCATAAGTAAGTATGTGAGCACTGGAGTCTGTGCTTATGTGTGTGTGTGTGTGTTCGTTCGTTCTCCGCAGTGCTGGATGTTTTGTGGTTAAGCACGTATAACTTTGCGGTGGCATATGCAGCGGCTGATGGTTCTCTGGAGACGCCTCCAGAGCTGGTGGTCGTGTCATTGCCCGTGAGTTATTCTAACGAATGATACATTGTAAAACTTTTCAGACACGACTACTAACAATGTGTCAACTATGTGTGTGTGTGTCAGAAAAAGGACGAAAAGAGAGACGAGCACTATCTGAACTTCAACGACCTTGTGTACGGCACTTGCACCGAGAGGCAGCATCATTACTACCTGTGCCATATCGAGGACTGGTGAGACTCGTCTGCATGTCCTGTGCTCTGCATGAGCTTTGTTAGTCCAGTGGGGACATCAGTTGTCATAAATCAAATGAAACTGTTTTCTCTTGTGTAGGGATTTGGTTTTGGCTTCATCAGCCGCTGCCATTGAAGTCAGCATCATCGCGAAACAAGAGGACAAGGTAAACACATCAGAAACATGGGTTATTATTGTTAACTAAACCTAAAATCATTAAAAAAAACACTTGATAATTAAAAGGATAGTTCACCAAAAAAGGAAAATTATCATTGTTTGTTAACCCTCAAGTTGTTCCAAACCTGTATGAGTTTCTTTCAGCTGCTAAACACAAAAGAAGATATTTTGAAGAATGTTGGGAGTCAGTCAGTTGACAGTAGCCATTGACTTCTGTAGAATGGAAAAAAGGAAGTTATAACTATGGAAATTAATGGGGACCAGAAACTATTTGGTTGCCAGCATTCTTCAAAATATCATCTTCTGTGTTCAGCAGCTGAAAGAAACTTGTACAGGTTTGGAACAACATTATGACCATTAAAATAAAAATAAAAAGTTAAACAGATTTTATTTCCGCTAGGTATCAAGGCAACAATTTTCTTTTTTTATTTCCTTTTTTTAAGTTTAAGTTAAAGTAATACAATAACAGAACTAAAGAATAAGTATATAGGCACTTTTAAAAAACGATAAAAACGACAAATACATAAAAATACTAAAACGTAAAATGAAAACGAAGTATAAAAATAAAAGCTGTTTATATAGCTAAACTATACTAGTATCTCAGTAATAGTAAAATAAGTGTTAGTGTCTGCACTGATAGCCTTGCACTGTTGCGCTACAGGCGTCACAAGTTCGAGTCCCAACTCGAGGACCTTTCCCAATCCTACCCCCATCTCTCTCCCACTTCGCTTCCTGTCAGTTTTGATCTTTCCTATTGTAATAAAGTCGAAAATGCCAAAAAATAAATCCTAAAAATTAAGTGTTAGTCACAGTGGTCTGATGTGATGTTGTGTGCAGGTGAACTGGGAGCTGTGGCTGCTGGAAGACGCTAGTCGTGCGGAGCTTCCCGTCACAGAGAACAGCGAGGACACACTTCCTGTCGGCATGGCCATCGATTACACCAGCCAAGAAGACATACACCTGTGTAAGAGCTAATAAACTTCTAATGTCTGTTTAAACTGTGATATGACATTTCTTTTCCTAAGAAAATGTTTCCTATTGCTGCTGCTGACACATCCATACACAAAGAACAAAGACTCTACTGCTAATGGAAATAGCTACTTTTATGGGCGTTTGCACTTGTTCATGCTTTACAAGAACCAACTAACAGTACAAGTATTTGTCTTAAATTAGTTCATTCAAACGTTCAAATGCTGAAACATTCATTGTCAAATTCTCAAGCTTTTATTCGACTGAATATTGGTGAAATGCTGAAAAGTCCCAGCACAAAATTGTTGGAAATCATGTGAATGTAAATAAAGTGGAGTTTGTGAAAAGCATTATTTTCTGTGCACTGAGCCACTTCGAAATATCGCTGTTTCAGTTTTATTGTTTAATTGTTCATCCTCATTTGTTTATATTAAAGTTGCACTAATAAATAATTCTTAGCTTTTCATCCACTCATGAGCCCTGTTTTGTAAACATGGTGTTGTCACGGTTTTCTTGCATCCTCAGCTGATGAGAATAGATTGCCTCCAGCGCCAACGCTGATGCTGCTGTCTACGGATGGAGTCCTGTGTCCTTTCTCTCTACTGAACCTCAACCCAGGGGTCAAGCAGCTGACCGTGGCTGCTGTCCCGCTGCCTGAGGACGGAGAGAGAGCGCCTGCCGCCAGTAAGACCACAGCCATTGTTTAAGACCCCAGTATACACACGGCATGTTTTGTTCTTCACAAAAAAGTTAGAGATACCTTTGCAGCAATATAAACGCATTTGACCATGGCACTCACGTCTTTTGCAGCGTCACATGAAACAATCGGATCATTCTTTTCTCTTAACAATCATTCGCATAATGTCAACATGTCTAATTCCAACGTTTGGTAATATTTCTGTTCAAAATGACAATTCCTGGATTTATAAAAAATCAAATTGTTGCAAAACATTAAATTCAAATAAAATTGGAAAAATTGCCCAGGCCTACTTCAGTACAGCAAGCTGCTTTATACTATTGAACATGAAAAAACAGTGTCAGTATTACTTTCAATCAGAATTACACTTTCATTTCTACTATAAAAGCAGCTCTTCAGTGTGTTCATGTTTTTACTCGTGTCTGAACAGAACAAATGAACCAGAGAAGATTTCAACATCATCTGTTTTCTACCTATTACGTAATTGCCACAGACCAAGTTGTTAACCAAGGTGTTGAGAGTGACCAGTCAGAGTGACTTCACTGGAAAATTTCACATTTTTTTGGCCTTGTTTTGTTCAAAGTGACGTCACACCAGTTCATTTAATTCCGCTTGAAGTGTTTCGGGCCTTTACTGTGCCAGGCAAACCTACATGTGCTTTGAAGTCAGTTGAATTAATTTTTAATTCACTAGTACTTTAAATCTATTATTGATTAGCGCAGACAAATCATGATTTAGAAGTGATTTATGCAGCGTTTGCTGTCCAGCACCAGTTCAGTGACTTTGTTGTGCTCTAACACACTTCGTTTCAGAGTCGTCGTCCTCCTCTGTTGCTCCCGCCTCTGCAGCATCCTCCATCTTCCAATCTTTCCCAGCATCTTCTGGCACGGCCCTGCCTCCAGCCACCTTATCCTTCACAGCCCCGCCACCAGCAGCCACTGCTGCCACCTCCTTGGCTCCGCCCACCTCTGCGTCCTCCACTGGTTTCTCCTTCTCTCTTCCTGCTCTGGGTTCTACCACCTCCTCAGGCTTCTCGCTGGGCTCCGCCACAGGAGGTTTCTCCTTCAGCGCTCCCAAACCCTCCTCCGATGCTCCTGCCTTCTCCTTTGCTTCCTCATTGGCTCCGAAGGAGGTCAGCAGTGCTCCGGCGGCCACTCCTCCTCAGCGTCCACCAGCCATGTCCCCCATCATCAGCGGCCCCAAAGCGCCAGCGGAGCCTGCAACGCCTGCCATCAGGATGAACCTCACTGACAGGTAAGCACGTGATCTCATATTACATTAGATGGATAATCCTGAAGGATCAGCTGAGAGTTTGGCGTGTTTTTCTTCAGGTTTCTGGGAGTGGACTCTCTGGGGTCAGTCACATCTGCTGCCCAACCGTTTTCTTTGACCTCCACACCCAAACCGGCAGCAGCGGAGGTCAGCGGTCCAACGACAGCGGCACTCAAACAAGCTGCCCCTGCAGGTACAAGCTCACTTCGTGCCCTTCACCCCTTTAGCTTATTCCTAGGGCCTTGTTTACAAAACGCAAATCCTAAGTTCCATTGATTTGTCCTACATCAGAAATAATGAACAAATTGGCATTTATAAAGGCAAAAACTGACATGAATACGTATGCGTGTGCCAGCTGAAGAGCATATACCAGTAATTAAGCATCAAACATTTGTTCAAATGTAACGATGTTTAAATGTCAAAAAGACATAGTATTATATGCTCAAATGAGCAACTACTTTGTAATAATTATCAGGGCTCTAGACTGCGACAGTTTTTTGAGAATGTGCGAGTTAAAATTTGATGTGGTCTCATTTGTACGAGTGCATTGTCTGCGCTGCTCCAAAGCGCGTGCGTTGCAGAGCCGTGGCACATTGTAGCAAGAGTCAGAATTCACTGATCACGTGAAGAGAGGCTTTCAGCGTGAGGGCTTCAGGTGTATATCCTGGTTTATACTCGCCGCGTCAGCACAAGTACGAAGGTGTGTGCTGCGCGCGGCTAAAATGCCGCTAATACTGAGGAACTGATGGGAGACGGAGGATTTGGTTTTCAAATCCATAGCAATAAGTTACATTTTAAAATATATTCACATAGAAACTTGCTTTTTAAAATATTTTACAATATTACTGTTTTTACTGTATTTTTGATTACATAATTGCAGCATCGGTGAGCAAAAGAGACTTCTTTCAAAAACGTTAAAAAATCTTAATTATCCCAAACTTTCGACTGGTAGTGTATATTACGGAATTTTACACAATATATGCAATTAATAAATAAAGCAAATATATTATTCCAAATTTTTGAACATTGCCTCCACATTATATTTCTTCTGAACCACAAAAGGGTATTTGTAAACATTCTGTAGGTGATGCACGTTACTCATGTTTTAGAGATGAACATTTCGTAAATTGTTGTATGTTGAAAATGTAACGATGTTTAAATGTCAAAAAGACATAGTATTATATGCTCAAATGAGCAACTACTTTGTAATAATTATCAGGGCTCTAGACTGCGACAGTTTTTTGAGAATGTGCGAGTTAAAATTTGATGTGGTCTCATTTGTACGAGTGCATTGTCTGCGCTGCTCCAAAGCGCGTGCGTTGCAGAGCCGTGGCACATTGTAGCAAGAGTCAGAATTCACTGATCACGTGAAGAGAGGCTTTCAGCGTGAGGGCTTCAGGTGTATATCCTGGTTTATACTCGCCGCGTCAGCACAAGTACGAAGGTGTGTGCTGCGCGCGGCTAAAATGCCGCTAATACTGAGGAACTGATGGGAGACGGAGGATTTGGTTTTCAAATCCATAGCAATAAGTTACATTTTAAAATATATTCACATAGAAACTTGCTTTTTAAAATATTTTACAATATTACTGTTTTTACTGTATTTTTGATGACATAATTGCAGCATCGGTGAGCAAAAGAGACTTCTTTCAAAAACGTTAAAAAATCTTAATTATCCCAAACTTTCGACTGGTAGTGTATATTACGGAATTTTACACAATATATGCAATTAATAAATAAAGCAAATATATTATTCCAAATTTTTGAACATTGCCTCCACATGATATTTCTTCTGAACCACAAAAGGGTATTTGTAAACATTCTGTAGGTGATGCACGTTACTCATGTTTTAGAAATGAACATTTCGTAAATTGTTGTATGTTGACATTTAGGATAATTCTACACATCTTTAGGCCCCTACAGTCATCAGAGATGCATTAGATCAGGTGTGAAATCTTGTTGTGTTGTAGTGTTGTCTCGGGCCGCTCAGAGCAGTGCTTCTCCAGCTCAGCCGAAACCAGCTGCCGTCGCTCCTCCTGCGTCCAGAGCTCCATCTGCACAGGTACTGCACAGAAGACCTGATGAACCAGCATCAGACACATCCAGTCTCATGAGTCCTGCACAGACTGATCTGAAGTGTGTTTGCTTGGGTTTTGTGGCAGGTCATGTCTGTGAAAGCACTGGAGAGAAACCTGCAGCAGAAGAAAGACTCGGACCCCGTCATGACTGGAATACTGGAGGAGGTAGAGTCCGATAATCACATGTTCACACAGTCATTTCTGATTACCTGTCATATTGATGTTGACTGAACGGCTGCTGTGTTCTCTTAGATCGGACACTTTGAGAAGGAGCTGGACGATCTGAAGACCCGCTGCAGAAATGCTGATTTTAGGGTGGGCAGCACAGATGACATGAGAGACCTGAGGAAAGACTCTGAGAACTTGCACGCCTTCACACTGGAGATCAAAGACGCCACAGAGGTGTGACATGCACATTTATCCAGGCTGACTGCAGAAATCACCATGTGCTACCTAGGGCTGATATGCCATTTTTAGAGGTTTATTTTTTTTTCTTCTTTTCAGGAATTTCAAAGAGAAAATGTAAAGTTTTGATATTAATTTAATGTCTGTTTTTGATAATCCAGTGAAATAAGTGAGTTGCCTCATAAAGAAAACATAAAATTAGATTAACACAAATCAAACAATGAGATTATTCATTGTGCAAAGACAGCCTCACATCATGAAACACCTGAGTTACGAACAGCTCAGATTCAGAGCAGGTAAAGCGGCTCTTCTCATTCACTGTCTAGATTGTCGTGGCCCACCATAGTCTAATATGTCCCGCCACAGTTTCATAAGGTGTGGGAAATATTTTTACACTTATCGTAACACTTATCATACTTTTACACTTAAAAGGTATGTAACATTGTGTTTTGCACCATTGCTTTGATAAAGCATTTAGCAGAGCCTAACTAAAAGCAAAATCACATTATGGCTTAGTGTGTTTAACAAAAATTGCATAAAGGCCCCGATATACTTCAAACGAAATCGAAGAATGAACTGAAATGATGTAATTTCAAGCAAAATCAGGCCGAAACGAAGTTCGTTTTGAGTTCATTTTGGCAGTTCGAAACAGCTCACCAAAGTGAACTTTTTGGGGGAGTTCGTTTTGCCTCCTAAACACTTTCTCATTCCACGGAGGCCAGACAGGAGAACACATCTCCGCAACTATCTTGCGGGCTGTGCACGGTCCGATCTTGAATGTTTCAGCCACACTTTGTTGTGTGGCCACACAAGCTAGTTTTTGGAGTGTCAAGGCCAGTCTTTCCGTAGTGGAAATCTGTGTCCTGTGCGTTTTTGCATGTTTCACATATGGCGATACCCTTTTCAAGAGATGGTCAAACCGCGCGGCGCACATTCTGAAGTATGAAAAATGCACTTCCTCATCTGTGCGCCGCATTTGCTGAATTAAAACGGCAAACTCGCCATCATTCTTTGTTTTCGTTAAGTGGACGCACATACCATCTACGTCGCTTGTTCTTTTTCTTTGCCATTGAATAGATCAATGCTACTGCCAGATGTTTACTAAACTGTTCTTCTCTCACAGCCGCCATCGTTGTTGTGTTTAGGGGGTACACGCGGGCGGCGTGACACGTTTACAACCCCGCCTCCAGCAGCGCGGGGGTGTCGGAATGTTTGAAAACAGTATACCGTCGCTTAGACTTTTCTAACTTCTTTTTGCCCTCAAACGAAGAACGAAAAAGAACTTCGTTTGAAGTATATCGGGGCCTTAAGTGTGTTTTTGTGCCTGCTTTGGCTGGTTTAGGCCTGTTATGTCAGCCGACTTCCAGCGCTTTTTCATAATCTTCATATTCTGTGCAGAAGTTAGTTCACAGCATTGACAGAAATTTATTGATCCATTAAGGGGCTATGTTTCCCCTCTTAAATCGATTTTCAGGTGTATTTTTAACTAACTAAACCACCAGTAGGTGGCAGTAAGTCACTGTGTTAATGAGGGCGTCATCTTTATGAATGAGCCATTGAATAATTCACTCAACTGAATAGTTCAAAAAATGCAGATTAATTCATTAACAGAACACTGCTGTGAATTCTGAGAATTCTGCTGTGGCTTTGTTTGAAACCATTTTTCTTGGCAGATTTAAGCAAAAACAACATTGTCTAATGTTATAAACTAAATGTTTATTAAACTCCTGTATGAAATCTGTCACACTTGCAATTGTGCTGATATTCAGGAAAAAACACCTTTGCTCATGTGGTATTGCTAAACTGTGTCATGATATAAATATAAGACAAACCCATACAGGGCATTTTTGCCTCCATATATTCCATTTTGTGGCTATTTTAACTACATTCTAGGCAACATCACAAAGTGAAAGCGTGCTCTCAAGGCATGATTTTCTTTTCTTTTTGTAATGGATTAATGCACTCAAATATCAGCTCCAGTGTTACCAAATGAATAAACTAATGCACATTTTAAAATAAATGGTTATAAATGGTCATGATCAATGGTTATTTAAACATTTTAGCACTTGATATAAACATTTTTGAACCCAAAATGATGCCAAAGACAAACAAGAGTTGTTTTATAACACAGAATTTCACACCAGTCAGTTTCGGTTGATCATGAACCATAGATGTGACCGTAGTTTTGAGTTGTATGTATGAATGCATGCATGGCTGACTGACTCAAATTGTTGAACCCAGTCTCTTCACGGGGACATCAGTGCACTGAAGACCAGCCTGCTGGAGGGCTTCGCTGGAGCAGAGGAGGCACGAGCACAGAGCGAGCTCAACCGAGACAAAGACTACCTCCAGCTGCTCTACAAGAAACCACTGGACCCTCGGCGAGAAGAACAGCTCAAGGTCTCGTCACCACCTCGGATAACTAGATCATCATTTAAAAGGATAACGTGTGCTGAAAGTGTGTTTTTGCCACAGGAAATCCGCCGCTTGTACCAGTATGTGAAGTTTGCCATGGAAGACGTGAATGACGTTTTGGACGTGGAGTGGGAGAAGCACTTAGAGAAGAAGAAAAAGCTGAGGTGAGCAGCTGTGATATTGTGTTTTATTAGCGCACATCTGTTCGTCCGTACGCCTGAGTGTCAGTGTTTGCTCCTGAAGGCACATGATCATCCCGGAGAGAGAGGCTCTGTTTGCAGCATTGGCCAATAACCTGGATATCATCAACCAGCAGAAGCAGCGTCTTGACCGGCTGGAGAATGACCTGCACAAACTGAGGCTCTACAGAGGGACGTCAGTGTGGAGCTTCACCAGCCTGACACCCTCTACCCCTTCAGGACAGAGGTGAGAGTGCATGTCTGCCGTACAGGGCATCATGGTCAACCGATTGTGGATTTTGCTGATAATAATGACTAAAATTGAAAAATATGGCCTATAACCAGTTATCAGAGTTGGGTAGATTACTTACGAATTGTAGTCTGTTACTGAATCTAATCTGCTTGACAAAAATTGTAGTTAATAAAGTAATCCATTACATTGCACATTTTAGGTAATACAATCAGACTACTTTTTTAGATTACTTTTGACCTAACTCGGTTATTACATTGATTTTAAAAAGGGTCATTTGTACCATATTGATATAAAATACAAAGAGTAAGAAAATATATTCCATTCATTGTAATTAACAACATGAAGTGCATTAAACATTACATTACGTCAAGGTTTTCCAAACTGGGGTTCGTGTAGGAACTGCAAGGGGTTTGTGAGTTTAATGAAAAGCTAAATATAAATGAAATCATAAAAATGTAAATTAAGTCATTTGAAAATTAAAAAAAATATATATTTTTAAAAATAAAAATGTTTATAAATTATACTAAAAAAAATTCTATTTGTTTACCTGCATGTCATCCTTGAACTTTGAACATGCAAATGTGATACATAATTATTAAAATACTTATTTTAAAACATCCATGGGTACTTCAGGTATATACATTAGATGAAAGAGGTTCAAATGACATAGTTTACGAATCCTTGCATTACATGTAAATAAGAAATGATGTGAATTTGTGCATTTTAATCTCTTTGAAAGACAAAATCCTTACAAAGATGTACTAATACATGGTTAAATAACCTATTGAGTGATAATTAAAAAAAAAATTTAATGTGTTCATTAGTTGTTGATGCAATGCTGAAACACTTCTTAAACCTGAAATGCTTTTTGTAAATCCAGTGGTCAAATGCTGTGTAGCCACCTGACTAGTGACTGATCTCTGTGTGAATGTCTACAAACTGGAAGACTTTCTGAATGTATAGAAGCAGTAGGCTATTATAGAAAGGATCGTTTAAAAAAAAAAACGAAAGCGGAATTAGGTGGAGTCAATAATAATTATTATAATAATTTATTGCTATTGAGTGAATATGAAATCATGTAATCAATAAAAAAGTAAATGTATTCTGATTACAAGAATTTTAAAATGTAATTTAATCTAATTACAAGTACATAATTTTTGGAATCTGGTCTAATCCAGATTACATGTAATCAGTTACTACCCAGTTAATAACAATGATAATAACTCAGGGCCGTAACCACCATAGGCGTTGAGGGGGACAAGTTCCGCCCAATAATTAGAAATGGCCAAATTGCCTCCCAATTAATTTTATAATTATTAATTTAAGTTTATTGTCAGGATGAGAATTTTTTTTTTTTATTTACATTTTTAGGCTGGTCTGCCTCAGCGGTCTAACAGCGCATGGCCAATCAAATCAAAGTAGGCGGGGTTTACTGTTCACAGAAGCAGAGCGTAAGATGGAGGCAGGGGGCAGTGGAGGCAAGTGTTTAATGACAGAGATGTTATCCACCATTTTTCTCAAAAATGGTATCAAGATTAATGTAATTCCCAACTAAATGGAACAAGACAAGAAACGTTTTGTATTTTCGACGTATTAGGCATGCCAATAAGAGTGAATGTATGCATATTTCAAAATGACTTCCCAACTAGAATTAGACCTAGAATTTCATTTACTGTTCCATTTATTTATGCTTTATTAAATAAATAAAAATATAAATAAATAATAGGTCTCCTCAGTGTTCAAGATATTGTTACGGCCTTGTATTAATATGATGATATAAATATTATTAGGGCTGTTGATTTGATGCATTAATTTGGTGCATTTAAATTGCGATTAATTTGCAATGAATTAGATTAATTAATCGGCACATCATGTAATTAATTAATTAAAAACTAAGTTGCTTGACAGGCCAAATTTAAATTTATTTTCACAGAATAGGCTATGATTTTATATCCACTGTGTGTTGAGCCTTAATCTGAATTATGTTTATATTGTATGATATAGTTAAGCAATATAAGCCAGAAAAGAAACAAAAAGTTCAAACATCCAGCAGGCAAAAAAGCTCAGTTAGCGTGCTGCTCAAATCACAAAAACCAATCACAAGAACAAGTTGGCACACCAGAGCTCCAGAAAGGGAAAGAATAATTTTAATGCATGTTCTCATCAACAGTGATTGTTCGAGACATATGGGCGGCTCTTCATCAGACACGTGCACCAGCACTCATTCATTGACATCTGTGAAGTTAAATGTAGACTCGGTGGGATAATTATTTATGATTCTTGCTGTCAGGATACTCATTTATTCACAGTGGTAATACTTTTTTGTAATATTTGCCGATGAGTATAACACTGTAAGATGTAAGTTGTGCACTGAGGAAAACATGTCTCAAATGCACTGAATATCACGCGCATCTGACAGCAGAAAAAGCCACATAGGTTTATGATTTAGTTTGAAGCAGTTCATGAATAACATGTTTAAACATGTTGTACAACTTGGATTTCAGATGTGTTTGCAGCATCATCCTGGGGGGAAACTGGAAGCATCCATATTCACGTGTTCTGTGTGTTTTACAGTCTGGACAGTGAGCTGGAGAGTTTGAAGGACGCTCTTCTGAAAGACAGCCTGGAAACAACACCTAAAGCTCCTGCCAAATCACCATGTAAGATCTGCTTGTGTTCACCACAGTTCAGTCATCATCTCATGTTCATTAGTACAGTCTGAATTGCTCATGCCATTAGACACGAGATGATTGTGCTCACAGATAGAGGTGCTCCGATCAGGATGTTTGAGGCCAATCACTGATCGTCGATCACAGAAAGCAGTATCTGCCGATACGATCACCGATACTGATCTTTTTAAAGCCTTCTTTTCATCATATAGAATTAGTGATGATCCAATCAAGATTTTTAGACATTTATTCAGGGCCTGAATTTCATTTTTGAAAAATAGTTCCCCTTAGGTGACTCTTGTGAGAGGGGATTTTTTAATTTGAGGGGTGGTGGGCAGCATTTTTTAGACATTTTTCAAAAATGTATATTTATCTCACCTAAATGTTTGATCATGCACTGCATTTTTGTTTAGTTTTTTTTGTTTTTGTGTGCATGACCGCACAGTCTCCAGGAGAGCGCGCGAGCGCTAAATGGTTTAAACACTGGCAAGAATTAAAAAGAAATGCAATTTATAAGCTTTAGTGACTCGATTGTGACAGTTCCTGTGTCAAGTGCGGCTGGCTTATAGTGCAGACGCGATGTGATTTGAAGCCATTTGCGCATTTTGAGAGAGAGAGAGGGCACGCGCGGCGATGTACTCGCGCTGTTTGTGAAATTATGGCTCACAGAAAGTTTTCAAAATTACTTTATAAGTTATTTAATGAAGAAATATGAATTGTACCTCACTTTCAGCATTATAATTATTTCACCCGTGCCGGACAGACTGAGGCGGTGCCGCTGCATGTCATGCCAAACCTCTCACGGCAGGCGCGTCATGAGCTTGAGATCGTTTTTTTGAGACTGGCCTTTATAGAGACCGCCGATCAAACATCCCAAAGCGATTATCGGCCGATAGCGATCGGTAGCCGATTAATCGGAGCACCCCTACTCACAGATGAGCTGCAGTGAGATGTTGTTCTCGTTTGACCTCCCTGATGTCATTGTGTGTGTGTGTGTGTGTGTGCAGCTAAAATGACCCCAGCCAAACAGTCTCAGCTGAGGAACTTCCTGTCAAAGCGACAGACCCCACCGGTTCACTCCACAGCTCCAGGTACATCAACTGTTTGTGCTTGTGATGTGATTGTGCATCTAGAGGTGTTACATTGATAAAAAATAATTGATATCTCAATATTTTTTGTGATTTTTGTCGATAGCTGTAAGGCAGTGTTTTGCTGTGTGGGTTTTGGTTCTGGTTCTTGGCTGCTTTAGGCATGTCATGGACAAGCTTTTCATATTATTCATATTCTGTGCATGGCTCGTGTACAAGAAATTTTTTCATTAAAGGGTGACATTTGCCATCTTAAACTGATTTACAGTTTTTTTTTTTTTTAAAAGGCATTTTATTCTAACCTTATTAGATGTTTGCGTCATCTTTTGTCAAACTCTTATCTTTAATCAGTAAATTCAATTAGAAAAATAAGACCCGATACGATGTTACCAATCAAATTAAATTGCCCTGAAGAAGTGACATCTATGACAGTGCTTGGATATATTTACACTGAAATTACAGTTGCGTAAATAATGCTATGAGATTAATGTTTTCAAAATATTTTGATATTGAACAATATTGAAATATGATTTTTTTTTTTTTATGAAAGATGCCTCAATGTCTTAATGAGTTAGTCGGTGAATCATTCATTCAACCGTTTTGTTCAAAAGGCTGATTCATTCAGGATCAAAGCAAATGAATCAAAAACACTGATTAATTCAGGAACGAAACACTTCTGTGTGTTACTCTGAGATGTTTACTTGGACAGTTTTGGCTTTGTTTGGAACTGTTTTCATAGAGTAAAAACAGACAATACTGTCTAAAATGTAACTCACAATATTAACTGTTGTATAAAATCACATTTGCAATCGTACTGATACTCGCTCATGTGACAAGACAAAAATTTAAACGGGCATTTTTGCTCCAATATACTACATTTTTTGTCCATTCTAGCTGCATTCTACTACTAAATCTGCATCATGCAGTGAAAGAGTGGACTATCAAGACGTTTTTGATATTTTTGATTTATTTATTTTTCCTGCAAAAACAACCTGTGTGAGATATTGTATTGTACACGATACATGCCGGACACCCCTATGTTTGTCTCATATGTCTGTCTCATATGTCTCTCTACGTTTCTCAGCCAACCTGTCACGGTCAGCCTTCCTGTCTCCTCAGTTCTATGAGGATCTGGACGAGGTGAGCTCCAGCTCGTCTTTGTCTCAGCCTCTGGAGCCAGAGGACTTGCTGGCAGTGGCAGAGGAAGAGGACGAGCCGGCCCCCATCCCGGTGCTGATGCCCTCCGTCTCGAGACACCCCGCGGTGGTCCGTACACCCTCCATACAGCCGGGCTTCAGTATGCAGTCCAGTCCGTTCAGCAGAGTCCAGACCGTCCCCATACCTGTCATCAGCCCCGGTGAGGTTCAAACTGCACCTCAACACATGATTCTGGTCTTGTTAATGGTCTTTACAACGTCTTTTGCATGTGTTGCAGCACCAAGGATAAACATGGACAGTGCAGATAGCACAGCATTAGCCACAAAAACAGTCAAGCATGGAGCTCCGCCCACAGAAAAGATCACGCCCACCACAATCCCTGCCCCCCAGGCTGCAGGAAGAGCCGCCCTCAGCCGACACATGACCAGCCAGAAACCAGGTACAAACATACTGTCCTTCAGATCTGTTATAATCCACATTTACACACCATACACATGTTTTTATCATTTTAGCCAGTGAGTGATTTGTTTTATTTTAAACTCTGTGGAACTGATCTGTAATATTATAGTCTTTATAATTATGCATTTGCATCAGATGTCATATTAGATGTCGTATTAGTTATCAGTAAGTCTCCATCAGTCTTATCTATACACTAGGGGGTGACACTGTATGTCAGACCTATAGCATATTTGGACTGTTAATTATTGTTGTAGATGTATCTACACTAGGGATGTGCGGGTCTAGTCGACTAAACGGTACAGCTCCTACTAGTCGACACTGAAAACAATAGTCGATTACATGACAGAAAAAGAAAAAAAAACATGATTTTATCATTCAAATTACCGTCATTTTAACATTGCATTTAAAACATTTTAAATAACAAGTTAAAATAAAACGTTTGAAAAATAATACATTCTTTTTAAAAATGTATCTGGGCGGAAACTACATTTTTACCTCAGACCTCACATGCGTTTTCTTCGTGTCAGTTGCGGCGAGTTCAAAAACGACCATGCGAAAGATGAGAAGGTGTTGGATTATTTTGAATTGGAAGGAAACGGAAAAGTTTTGTGTAAACTGTGTAATGTCAAATTGTCTTACAATAACTCTACTGGAGCGATGCGTAATCATATTCAATACAGGCACGTAGGCGTTAGCTTAGAGCAGTGGTTCTCAACCCGCGGCCCGAGACGCTCAGGCCCTAGCCCGGCCGTGTCCGACAGCTTATCAGAATTACCGGCCCGAGCCCGTCTTTTTTTCCCCTTCTCCCAAAACAGCTTATACTACTGTTTCAGCTATATTAAAATAGTTCAGTTTTGTATGTAATGG